CCCTGATTCCTGCGGAGGCAGATGGGCCCAGTGCAGCGCCGACTTCTGCCGAAATGAACGCCCCCCCGGGCCCTCCGAACGCAGGCCGCTCAAGCAAACCGCGTGGATCCGACAACCTGTGACAAGCTTCAATGAGGTAAGACGCAGACACGTTCACCCGCATCGTTCTCGCGCTTATTACTATTTACTGCCATGCCAACCAGCACGACCGCGGCGCCCGCGGGGTGCATGTCACTGACCCGCTGGACACGGCGCCTTGCCCCCCCCTGCCCCCACGCCGCGGGCAAAATTGTACTGCTTGATGCTGGTTTCGGTGTCTGGCTGCTGGAACGAATGGTCTGCCACGCTCCCTGCATTCTCCCGAGTTCGGGCCCGGGTCGGGCGCCCTTGTTACCCTCCTCTTTTCTCATCCTCGACCATTATTCTTAGCTTTGTTGTCATTGCCTTGCCTAGACCGAAAGGTGCCCCGAACACAGCTTTCTTATGGTCACTTTTTCGTCTCTTTTATTCATTTTGCTCCTTCTGGAAATTTCAACTCGGCTTTCTTGCTTTGGGAAACTCGACCGTTTACCCGGCTCAGGTCTGGCATGAAATGGACAACTCGCCGTCTCTTCTTTGTTTTTTATTTGAAATTTCATTACTTTCGTTGTTCTTATTTCATAGCAGTCGAGCCGCTGTGTGGAGACTGGAAATTGTCTACAGTATAGCTACGCCGGCCGTATGTCCAATTCGGCGGGCGAAGGAGAGCCTATTCGACGTGCATTTCCTGACAATAAATGTTTTGTTCTGCTTGTCATTGTGTTGTTGCAGACGCCACGATGAAAAACATCCCAATACTGCAGGCGCTTGATGCGGCGCTTCAACAGCAGCCTCCTCTGCATCATGTCACGCATACTACTCTGTCGGAACTCAAGGACTACATTCGATCGATCTGTTCAATATACTGGTGTTGTTCAGGAATGCGGTCTACTGGTGCACCATGCTGTTCACTGTCGCCGACCTGAACGTATTATACACGTATATCTCCTGAGTGTCGATGAGCAGCAAGCTGTTGCCCGCGTACATGGAGCATTCTCGACCGGCACATGCCGCGTGCATCATGCCATAATGCCCTGCGTGCGTAGGGTCGTGGTCTACGGCTGCAGGTCGCGGGACGCGATGCCAGCGATTGGTTTTTGCATCACGTTTCGCCGTACGACGGGCCACTGTTATACATGCAATCCGACGATGCCAACCTTCAATACAAATGTTCAGCACATGGCTGTTGCACCTACAGTCGTTTGCGCAGCGGCGCCGCCGAATGACCAGCCTCCAAGTCCTCGTCAGATCTATGCTCCTGCAGTCCACGATTTCGACCGCCCCTTGCTTCGTCGCATGCCGTCCGCCTTTTAAGAAACCGCTGCTGGTGTTCAGGCTCTTGAGAGATCTATGCCTCCATCACATGTTGGCCTGCAACCTAGCAATGATGACCACTCACCCATGGTCGTGGGCAGGTGATGGCACACGCCTGTCCTTGTGATACCCAGCCAGCGGGGGCTGCACGCTGCTCGCATCCCTGTGAACGTTTTCTGCCATGGCGTGTGATTTGCCCTTGTTGCTTTCGTTTCCCCGTTTCGTTGCATTCCCGGAGCAGCATACGCAGAACGTTTTGTTTAGCGCTTGCACTTTCTGTAGGAGGAAACTACTGAAGATTGCTTATTTGTTTTCATTTTGTCTTTTGCGCTTAGACATTCGCGCGGGTTCTGGGATGTTCATCCGTGGCGCGGCGTAATGGAGTTTTCAAACAGACCCTTCGTTCCAGTCGTCGTTTCTCCATGCACAATAGCTGTGCCTTTCAGCTGTGCCGCGTGTGCCCCCGACGGCCCTGTGTTCTTTTAGACTCGTCCATGTAAAATAACTACACTTTCTGCTTTACCGTATGCTGCGCCCTTCTTGCCACGCTCTTGCACCGTTGCGTGTTGTGCTTCCGTTCTCATGTGCCACCGCATTTCTAGGGCAGCACACGCAGAATGTGCAGCTTGGCCTAGATATGTTCGGATGTACAATGTGCAGAGGACGCCGGTCCGCGACGATCATGACGAGGCCGACGCATCAAGATAGAGGCCGAAGAACAGTATCAGCGTGCCAAAGACACTCGCGTCGCTGGTGCTAAATACAGCCACTACGCTTGTTTGTTTTCGCTTTCCCTTTTGCTGTTCCGGGTTGGCATACACACCGTCTGCTGTTTACTGTGGCCTGAACTCGCAACAGAATGATCATAGACGCAATGGAGTTTTCAGTCAGACTCTTCGTTCCGCTTGTCGTTTTTCCGTGTACAATAGCTATGTTTTTTTACTGTGCCGTGTGTTTTGCTGTTTTTGCTTCGGTCTTGCGCCGCTGTAGACCGCATCCTTGTTGGATGATCGTAGGCCTGCGTTCTTTTAGACTCATCCGTGTAAAATAGCTACACTTTTCTACTGTGCTGTATGATTTGCTCTTTTTACCACGGTCTTGCGCCGCTGTACAAACCCTGTCCACGTGAGACAACTGATACCGATTGCAGCTAGCGCGGTTGTTTGTTTTTGCTTTTCCTTTTGCTGTTCCAGCCCGTTCCCGGATTYGCATACACACTGTCTACAATTTGCTACGGTTYGRGCCSGCGRTGGAGTGACCATAGACACAATGGAGCTTTGAGACGGGCCCCTTGGTTCARCCGTYGTTTTTTGAGTGGTTTCATACGACAAACAGACTGATTCCACCTTTCTTTTCCGTTTCTGCGGCTCTCAATTTCGCAATAAGTGATCTTCTTGGTCAATCTACTCCCGTCAGYCGTGTGTTCTTTTTGGGGTTCGAGTCGACACAATGCTCGCTTGCAGATAGCAGAGCGTGTGCTGCTTTCCTTCAAAAGAGCATATAGTGTGAGGAATGCTCAACAAATTATCCTAACAGTCATGTTCAAACATCCCATGGAAGAATGATGCMTGTAAGATGATGYCAGGCAGCATCCYATAGATCYCCACCAATGCAGCCACAGAAGAAACAGGCAGCCAACACCATCTCGAATTTCCGTAGGTCTAGCGTTCGAGTCTGGTCATTATGGCTTCATGCAGACTGAAAGTTGCCCCGCATGTGGCTATGCTGACTGGGCGTTCTATTGGGATGAAGATGATAGATCTTATCAGTTTACCTGTCCAGTCCAGTAAGCTCACAAAGGCCGCTACTGATGAATGTGCCAACGTTTCTTCCCGGATGCATCCGACGCCTCTTTATCTCAGCAGTTGTGACACAAATGCTGAAAAATCTCCACTGGATCCCTACCGAATTTCGCGTATGTCCCTTTCTCTTCTGTTCTTATTCTTGCACAGGTGCCATATTGATTTTCTCTGTATTGTTCCAATTTTAACAGACATCCCTAGAGCATTAAAACTTACATTCTCATCCCTGTATTACAACTTGCACACAGAACAGAAACGAGGCTGCTGCAAAAGCAAAACGAAAAACAAAAAGGTTTCAGTTAGACTCTTCGTTCCGCTTGTCGTTTTTCCGTGTGCAATAACTATGTTTTTTTACTGTGCCGTGTGTTTTGATGTTTTTGCTTCGGTCTTGCGCCGCTGTAGACCGCATCCTTGTTGGATGATCGTAGGCCTGCGTTCTTTTAGACTCATCCGTGTAAAATAGTTACACTTTTCTGCCGTGCTGTATGATTTGCTCTTTTTACCGCGGTCTTGCGCCGCTGTACAGACCCTGTCAACGTGAGAAAACTGATACCGATTGCAGCTAGCGCAATTGTTTGTTTTTGGTTTTCCTTTTTGCTGTTCCAGCCCGTTCCCGGATTTGCATACACACTGTCCACAATTTGCTAGAGCCCGGGTCCGCGGTGGAGTGACCATAGACACAATGAAGCTTTGAGACGGGCCCCTTGGTTCAGCCGTCGTTTTTTTAGCGGTTTCATACGACAAACAGACTGATTCCACCTTTCTTTTCCGTTTCTGCGGCTCTCGACTTCGCAATAAGTGATCTTCTTGGTCAATCTTCTCCCATCAGTCGTGTGTTCTTTTTGGGGTTCGAGTCGACACAATGCTTAATCCCGGTCACCATGGTGTCCGCAGCGATGCAGACCGGATTCGCGCTTTCCCCATGTCAAATGGCACAGCTGTCTATGTTTATGTTTGTGTATGTGTATGTATGCCTGTCAAACAGATGAAAAAAACTGCATGTGCGTCTGCGTGTGTACATGTGTATATCTCCCTCCCTCTCTCTGTCTGTTTCTCTCTTTATTGCTTTATATGTATATATGTATGTGTATGTAAAAGAGGAAAATGGAGAAAAGCAAAGAGAAGGGACATCTAGATGTAGCTGGCCGGTCTGTTATCCAGTGTCCGCATCCGGTCCAACATAGCTAAGGTTGGAAAGGAGCTGAAAAATGTATTGAAGGCCTCCGCTGCCATTGCAAATAGTTTTCCGAGTTCGGTACATTTTGGGTCTAATCGTCACTGGGACTGGGGCTTTCGCACATCTGTCTATGTTTATGTCTATGTATATGTATGTTTGCCTGTCAAACAAATGCAAAAAAATGCATGTGCATTTGCGTGTGTACATGTGTGTCTCTCCCTCCTCTCTCTCTCTGTGTTTCTCTCTTTATTGCTTTATATATATGTATATATATATATATATATATATATATATATATATATATATATATATATATATATATATATATATATGAGTCGGTGAAACTCCGACGAAACAGTTTGTCACAGCCCCTCGTTTGTTGTCCTCTTCTCCCTCTCTGCCTACGGTTTACCGGGCAGTTCTATTTGACGATATATATATATATATATATATCGTCAAATAGAACTGCCCGGTAAACCGTAGGCAGAGAGGGAGAAGAGGACAACAAACGAGGGGCTGTGACAAACTGTTTCGTCGGAGTTTCATCGACTCATATGTCTGCGTGTGTACGCATGTGTATGTAAAAGAGGAAAATGGAGAAAAGCAAAGAGGAGGGACATCTAGATGTAGCTGCCCATTTAAGTCTAATCTTCACTGGGACTGGGGCTTTCGCTTGCAGATAGCAGAGCGTGTGCTGCTTTCCTTCGAAAGAGCATCTGGTGTGAGGAATGCTCAGCAAATTATCCTAACATTCATGTTCAGACATCCCATGGAAGAATGATGCCTGTAAGATGATGCCAGGCAGCATCCCATAGATCCCCACCAATGCAGCCACAGAAGAAACAGGCAGCCAACGCCATCTCAAATTTTCATAGGTCTAGCATTCGAGTCTGGTCATTATGGCTTCATGCAGACTGAAAGTTGCCCCGAATGTGGCTATGCTGACTGGGCGTTCTATTGGGATGAAGATGATAGATCTTATCAGTTTACCTGTTCAGTCCAGTTAGCTCACAAAGGCCACAACTGATGAATGTGCCAACCTTTCTTCCCGGATGCATCCGACGCCTCTTCATCTCAGCAGTTGTGACACGAATGTTGAAAAATCTCCACAGGGTCCCTACCAAATTTCGCGTATGTCCACAGGTGCCATGTTGGTTTTCTCTGTATTGTTCCAAATTTTACAGACATCCCTAGAGCATTAAAACTTACATTCTCATCCCTGTATTACGACTTACACACGGGACAGAAACCAGGCTGCTGCAAAAGAAAAACGAAAAACGAAAAGGTTTGGACGTAACTGGGAAAGTGCACTGCAAGGGGATGTCAGTAAATGACCCGAATACACCGACAAAAATAATGAAAATTCTGTCCAAAGGGAAGCCTTTGGAGCTGACCAGAGTTCACACAGGAGTGATAGGGGCTTTACACGGGTTATGCAGATGGTGGCATGCAAGCACGAAGTCCTTAAGCACATAGTTTGTTTGGAGAGAGTACAAAACGAACAAAATGCTATACACACTCAATGCTCGCCTTTTTTTCTAAGGGGGGGGG